TTTTGCTTTTAAATGTCCCAAAAATCAGTTATAAGAGCCCAACCTCAAATTCTGAACATCTTGCCAGGGAATGTTTAGGCAAAGAAAAGTCATATCTATACAGAATAACATCTAATAAAATGATTTAAAAAAACAACAACAATAGACCCAAAAAAAAGAATAACATTATGGTTATACAAAATTGTATGGAAGTGAATTATAATCATATTTTGAGAAATTTTAAATAAAATATATCAAAAAGAATATAAAGAAAAGTATGAGATAAAGCTTACCTATTGATAACAATCAAAATTAGTGTTGGAATCATTAACTAGTTCTTGTACTACCAGATAGTATGAGTATTTTTATATTCTTAGTCCAAGCAAATGTAAAAAGAGAGCAATTATAAAGGAAAAGCTTGATTCATTATCACTTTAAAATGTTAACCAGAAACAAAAAATGAATAGCAAAATATCTGCCAATTTTTATATAAGGTATAAAGGCATACTTAAAAAATCCCTGTTCTTTCTTTATTTTTTGGTTAGAATACTTAATATGCAGAGTGCACTTCAAAGAATTTGAAAGCCATCTAAAATATTTTAATAAATGGTATTTTACTATGGTTATTTTAAAATAATACATATGTATTAATATGTATAATAATATATGTATATAACATGTATAATATGTATAATAATAAAGAAAATAGGTATTGTTTTTAAATAACCAAATTAACCTAAAAATGTTAATATAAATATGAACAAAATATTAATATAAATACAGACAAATTAATATTCATATAAATATGAACAAAACTTAATAATTATACAACTTATTAATAAATAAAATTGTGTGATTTTATCAGTGTACCAAAAAGAAATCTCACTTAAAGGCAAGCACATAGCATGCATCCTCATGGGAAAACCCAGTATTAAAAAGATGACAATTTTTCACAATATATAAGGTTTTATATAAATAAATATTTATATAAAAATTTATATAAATAAATATTCAGCTTATACTAAAATTCTTAATCAATATCCATGTAAGATTACTTTTGAATAAATTCTAAAAGATACATTTCTATTTTCTTTTTAAAAAGTGTACAAAATTCAATTTTAGTTCGTGTTTTTTCAAGCTCTTACATCACTTAATACATAAAATAATTTTAAAGTCAACTTGGAAAATTGGCTTTTATTCAAGAAGGCTTAACAGAGACTGGGGCTTTTCCCTCACCTGAAAACAAAACAAGACAAAATATATACATTTTTAAAAGTTTGAAACAACAGGGAGGACAGGGCATTAGTCACTGAAAGAGAGGGAAAAGATCGAGATGGGTCCCACAGTACTTTTTACAGGCAATCTCTACACAACAGTCCAGAAAGAAAAGCCTAACAGAGGCTTGTAATCTCACTGGGTTTAAGGGAAACAGACATAACGATGGCGCAGAAAATTATTAGACTTTGTAGGGCAAAGAACTAGGAAGAGGGAGGGGCTGAACACACACAAACATACACACAGTAGGCATACATGCTATGGAGGCCTTCAGAAAGTTCTCCTTGGGTATAACATGTAAGCACATTAGAAGAAACCAACCCGAAGCTGGGGGAAGAACCAACAGAAAGTGATTCTATGAGCTCACACAAAGACAGAACTCATTCGGACTCTAAGAATCATAGTAGAAAGACCACATAATACATGAGGCATTGGGTAAAGTCCTCAGAAATGGATTTTCTTTGTAATGTGATAAATTAATCCTATTGTAAAAATAGCACTAGACTAGATACAATATAAGAAAAATTAGTCTCAAAATGACCTAATGGGGTCCAAAATAAGCTAAATCACAAGTCGGAACAAATACAATAACAACTGAAACAAAATTTGCCATGTACAATTAAAAAATAAACAACTAATTGCCACTGAGTAGATTCTGACTCATAGTGACCCACTCCATTATGAGAGAACTACCTCGGTGGGTTTTTGAGGTTGTAATTCTTCATGGGAGTAGAAAGCCTCTATTTTTTCCTGTAGAGCAGCTGATCCTGGGGTTAGCAGCCCAATGCATAACCACTATGCCACCAGGGCTCCTTGTAACATACAATATCCACGAATAAAAGAAACAACCCCCCTCCAAAATACAAAAAAAAATGTCTTTTGTCTTTCTCTCACTCATATATACATATATGAGAGAGAAAGAAAGAGAGAAATCAGTTGTAGAAATAGATCAAACACTGTCAGATGAGGGAATCAACAAAGACATTAAAACAGCTAATTATAAATACGCACTATATGCTGAAGAACACAAAGAAAAATATGAACATAATGAAGAGAACAGAAGATATTGAAAAATGAGGTAAGAAAATGCATATAACATTACACATTAATACACATAACGTATGGTTGTCCCATCTTTTGTTACTAGGTACTATCTAGTTCGTTCCTACTCGAAAAAACACTATGAACAGAACAAACCACTGCCTGGTCCTGTACTATCCTCACAGTCAAGTCTACTGACACTATCCCCAATATTAAGGTAATCTTGATACAATTTCTTAAAAGACACAAGATGATCACTTATTAGTAAGAAGCTTTTAAAAACCTGAAAACTGTACTAAGGAAGGAAAAAAGTCCAGGAAAGTTGGGCTGAGGCACTTTTCCATCATGAAATGTACCTGCGCCTTCTCCGATGGCTAGAGGACGCAGGCATTTTTACCTCATTCTCACAGGAATCAACCTTGGACCAATGAGTTTGCCTCTCATTCTGGCTTGTGATGTCACAGAGTTCACATATTCTCTACTCCCCCTGCCCCCAAGTCCGCCTAGCTTGTTTACAACAGGTTTTCCTGTGATAAAAGTAAGTTCACTGTGGGAAAAGGCTAATAAACAGTGATGGATTTTCAATATAAGACATTT